CAAATCAGATTCATCCACATCAACTCTAGACATATTTGCAAGTAAGCTATGCCATTGAATGCTAAAACTTCTATTATGCATAGACAAACTAGCAATTTTAACATCATGAGGATCATAGATTTTGCATTTCATATCTCGAAAATGCACAGCATATTTCTTTTCAAGCATTTGACCCACACTTAGTAAATTTGAATCCAAGCCAGGCACTAAAAGTACTTCATCAATATATCTTGTACCTTTCTTTGTTTGGATAGCAATGGTACCCTTACCTTTGGCTGGTAGGACTCCTCCGCTTCCAATTTTCACCGTGGCCTTCACATTTGTGTCTAAATTGCGAAAAATCTGCTCCATATTGGTCATATGATTGGTGCAACCACTGTCTACAAACCATGTTTCCTTGCTACTCAATTCAGCTCCATGAAAAGCTACAAACAAATGGTTTTCACCATTCCTTTCATGTGCAAATGCTGCTTGCTGATTTTGATTTCTTTGATGATATTGTGGCTGATTTAGATTCTGCTTTTTGGCTCTACAAAACTTTTCAATATGGCCCACTTGCTTGCAAAATTTGCATTGCTTTGTCTTCCAACACTTCTTCTCAAGATGGTTGGTTTTTCCACAATGAATACAAGGAGAAAATAAGTCTCCTTTGCCTTTCTTCTTCCCTTCTTGGTGTTGTTTTCCTCCACCTTCACTTGAACTTTGCGGTTTAAACTTTGCCGCAAGAGCTCCTTCAATAGGTACCTCAGATCTTGACGTTAACCTTTGCTCATAGGCTAACAAAGCACCTGTAAGTTCAGTTAAAGAAAGACTTGACAGATCCTTTGTACGCTCTATAGCTGTGGTAACAGCATCAAACTTTTCGGGTAAGGTAATCAACATTTTTTGCACCACTCTTTTGTCTGGTACGTCCTCTCCATTCAATTTAAGCTGATTCACCACATTAGCCACTCTAGAAGAGCAGTCCTTTACGGATTCAGCATCCTTCATCCTTAGATTTTCAAACTCTCTGCTCAAAGTTTGCAATGTTACTGCTCTCACTTGCTCAGACCCTTTGTACTCTTTTTGTAATTTATCCCAAGCCTCTTTTGCTATTGTAACAACCACAATCTTAGGAAAAATTGGCTCAGTGACAGAAGAGTGCAAGAAGGTAAGAGCCTTCATATTTTTTATTCTACGATCCTTCTCTTGCCTCATTTGATTCACAGTAGGGTCTGCATCCATCTCCTGTGGAGTATAACCTTCTTCAAGAATCTCCCATAGATCATGTGCCATCAAGAAAGCCCTCATTCTGACAGACCAATACTCATAGTTTTCGCCTCCAAACATCATGGGGATAGGCATTGAAGCTAGAGTAGAATTTGCCATTTTTCTTCTTTCTCACAGGCCTTTAAGATCAGTAGTGCTCTGATACCAAATGTTTGTTCTGATTGTGATTTTAGTATGCAGTGGAAATAAGGATAGATTCTATCAAGATCGGATCAGTTCAGTAATAAGAACAGAACAAAGTATATTTTGAGAGAAACTTTTTTTTTTATATATCTGAATTATTTGATTTGAGTACATGACAAACCTATTTATAGGATAGTATAAGACTACTAAGAGTCACACAATTACGAAGAATAATAATGACTAATAATGATGGTGAATGCATCCATCTCTTCATCTTCCT